TACTATATTATAGGCCTAGACTAGGACCAGGCCTCCTACTATAGTAAAGAGGCTTAGTCCAAGACCTTGTTGCAAATCCCAGCCCACATGAGCCTAGCCTATAATACCTAGCATAGGGCTTGTTTTTCGCGGTACCCTGACCATTAAAAATTAGCAGACCCACTGGGAAGCATTCACGGCATTGGACTGCAGCGAAAAATGATTCCCCCATCATTAATGGAACATGCCCACGTCACGCTTGGCTGACTAGTTTTGATTTACATTTCGCATGTCTTGTGTTGTTGTAAAATGTATTTCAAAACAGTCATGCTTGGCTGGTTTGACATGGACTTTTGCTGCTTATGGCACAGACACACTAATGTAAATCAAAACTAGTCAGCCAAGCGTGACGTGGGCCTGTTCCATTAATGATGGGGGGAATTATTTTTCGCTGCAGTCCAATGCTGTGAACAACGCTTCCCAGTGCGTCTGCTAATTTTTAATGGTCAGGATACCGCGACCACAAGTTCAGTCCCGTAGGCAAAGGGGGGGGGGGGGGGAGGTGCGGACGCACCCCCGGGGTGGAGGGGGAGTGTGCAGAGGGTGCGGACGCATCCCCCCCAAATTCCAAAAAGGTACACTTTTTGAAACCTATGATTTCACAAAATCGTTCCTAATTATCACAAAATGTTATAGCATGCCAGCATGCATTATATATTTGCCAGCGTATCTAACCGTTGATTTTTAATAATGTGGCATGAAATTTGTTAGAAATTGATCGTCTCCGGTGATTGCAGATTGATCTACATAATATGAAGATTGTTATCTATAGGCATGCAGATGTACAGGACAAAATAACATTACTTTTTCAGTGAGAAGAGCCCCTAAAATTATAAAAGAAAATGGAGAAAAAAAAAAAAATCATAATTGTCTGAGAGTGCCATTTCCGGCCATTTTGAGGTGCCATAATTATAAATTTTCTCACCTCAGCTCCAATCATGGGGCTGAGGTGGTATTGACCATCTGTCTCAAGTTCCTCCCTTCACCCCCACCCTCTATTTCTCCTGCTTTTACTGTAGGTCCCTAGACAATACTTAAATGAATGAAAATTTAAATAGGATATTACAAATTATGGATTTTAGAAATCCATTAAAAAAGGCCCTCAAAATGATAATTTGTCAGAGCTTCCAGAAGGTTCGCCCCACCCTCGCGGGAACCCCTAGACAGTCGCCCATCGTAAGGTCCACTTCGGTTGCAAAACGCACCTCCCCATCGAAAATCCTGCCTACGGGCCTTCCTATGCTAGGCATTATAGGCTAGGCTTTATGTGGGCTGGGATTTGCAACAAGGTCTTGGACTAGGCCTCTGTACTATTTTTTGTAGGAGGCCTGGTCCTAGTCCAGGCCTATAATATAGTAAAATTCTGTATAAGTAGTCATTATGATTACAGGTTTACATTGTACCAAGGTCAATATTAACGATCGCATTTATTTTTCATTGAAAATTAAAAAAAAAACAACTTAAAAATAAAAAAAAAAGTTAACTTAAGGATTTTAAAATATTCAAAAAAACTGTACACTTCAATAAAAAACAACGCGATAGGATATGAAGTTTGCGAGAATAATTGGTATACTTGTACTGTATTTTCTGAAGCGCCATTCGTTTTTGGGGTTGCTACAATCAGCAGTTGTTACATCAGTGGCGTCTAGGGGGCGTCTAGGGGGAACGCCAGGGCCCCAAGTGCGAGGGCCTCCCCCACCCCCGACATTGTTTAAACAAAATATAATATAAACTATAATACCGTAGTTTCATTCAATGGGGCCCGACAGTTTTAAACAATAAAAGCTGGGTTCTGATGTTTGAGATCATGCTTCTGATTTTGTGATCAATCTGTTTTGCAGATTGATCACACAGTTAATTTTTCAATCTCCAGCAAATTTTAAATAGTATCCAAAATCCTCCTTTTTGGAATGTAAGGAAATAGGTAGTGCTTTTCCTTTGTTTGATCGATTGTAACTCCTGATTGTAGCAACCCTAAAACGAATGGCACTTCAGAAATACAGTACAGTATACCAATTATTCTCTCAAACTTTATATCCTATCGTGTTGTTTGTGTTTTAAGTTAACTTTATTTATTTATTTTTTATTTTATTATATTTTTTTTTAAGCGTACAGTTTTGGAATATTTTAAAATCCTTAAGGGGTCATCCATTATTTTCATCATTTTCACGCGCGTACAAAACGTACGCTGGGGGGAGGGGGTTGAAAGTGTGTGTACGCTTTTCAAAAAGTACAAAAAGAACGATTTGGAAATGTTAGCCTACGTTTTTGTACCTAGCAGTTCACGAGTAAATGTTAAGTTTATCAATTGTTTATACACAGCGTCATCTTGCATCCCTGATTAACGATGTGTTGGTTAAAGCATTGTGTACTTATAAACAATTTCGAAATACAAGGGAAATGCACTCTAGCCAGGGGCGGATCCAGGATATGAA